TTATTTGCTTATTACAATGAGTAGTATGATGCCCTAGTGCACTAAATACTCAATACAACGTTCTCATGGGAGAGTTTTCAAATCGGCTTCCTGGGTTTTATTTGCAATGATGATACAAATGCAAATGAGCAGATAAGACTCTATCTAAACTTCTCAAGAAATTTAGTAGCCTTATTATTGCAATAAATAGCCATAAATCAGCTACATTTTGATAAATAAACTTGTTATGAAGACCTCACATGATACCCTACTGTGGTTTGGAATAAGTGTCCACCAGAGTTCTACTTGTTAACAGTGTGGTTGGTCACAGACTATGATGCCACAGGGAGGTGATGGGACCTTTAGAAGGTGGGCTAGTGGAAGGCAGTTCAGTCATTGGGGATGTGCCCTTTGGAGGGGATATTGGAACTCCAGCCCTTCCTCTTCCACTTTTTTGGTTGCTAGCTGCCATTAGGCAAACATTTAGCCATGATGCACTGCCTCAACATAGGCCCCCAAAGCAGCTAGGCCAACTGACAATGACTGGAACCTCCAAAACGGTGAGCCCAAATAAATGTTTCTCCTTTATAAGTTGATTATCTCAGGTACTTTGTTACAATACTGCAAAGCTGACTAACAAAACCCCACAAATATATACAATGAAAAATTCAACATTTTGCTTTAGAAAAGTTTTAGATTTATAGAAAACTTGCAAAGAGTCTCAGTGTTCTCATATATGCCATATTCAGTTTCTTCTGTTATTCACATCTGATATTGCTATGCAACCTTTTCCATAACTAGTGAACCAATGTTGATACATTATTACTCACTAAAACTCATGCCTTATTCAGGTTCCCTAAGTTTGTTCCTAATGCCCTTTATGTGTTCTGGATCCTCTTTAGGATAACACAGCACATTTAGTGTCCTATCTTCTTGGATTCCTCTTGGCTTCTATCGACTTCTATTAAATTCTTGATTCCTGGAGGCCAGGTTTCATCACCATCACCAATGTCTTCTGAAACAGGACCTCAAGTAAATGTCCAATTGAATTGACCCGGTTTCTATTTTAAAATGTCAGCTGTTTGATTGAATGATTGACTACTTACTTCTGAGTGGCATTATCTGCCTCTATATATCTATCCCTCCAATATCACCAACAAGATTTCATTTTGTCCTGATGTTTTATGCAGAGTTTTATTTATTACAACTGTCAGATCTATAATGCATGGTTGACTTCAGGTCAGCCTCTGCCTGGTCTTTTTGATTGAGATGCTACCTGTCTTTGAATAGCAGAAGAGTTGGTTGAGAACCACTATCACTATTAGCTGCACCACCTTGGACTGGTTACAGAAATCCTCTGAGCCTCTCTCATGGGGCATTTGTGAGGGTTACTGAGACCAGGTGTAGGAATCCCTGACATATATAATAATAAGCATTAACTTATTAATTAATAATAAGGGGCTGGGGACTATTCTTTGTGTTGTGTGCACAACATATTCAACCTTTACAATAGACTTATGCAGTTACTACTCTTATCCTTATTTTATAATTTAGAAAACTGAGCACAGGGAAAGTAAAGAGCACATCTAATACTACACATAGAGTGAGAAGCAAGCCTAGGATCTAGACCCAGGACTATCAAACCACACATTATAGGACTGCTTGATCCCACTACTACCTTCTCTGCAAGAGAGCTTTTCCTCAACCTCAAACATTCTTCAGATGGTTGACAGAGGGAATGTAAACAAAAGATTGCCCAAAAAGTCAGTCTCCCATTTACTAAGTTCCTCAAAAATTAAACAATTCAGCACATAATGTGTAGTATGTTCAAGGCAAGAGCAGGGAGGGTTCTTGCAAAGTTAATTCGAATATTGAGCTCCTTGTTTCTGACTCAAAAAATCCCTTCAACACATCTTTCTTCACAGGGAAATTCTAGCTCCTACATGAATAACCAAGTTTCATCACTCACTCCTGTAGGTTACCTGATGAACACTGGACTTTATGGTTCATTGGGACAGAGGTCTGTGGCCTATATCACACAAATTAACACCTCTTCAGAAATATGATACCTTCCTGTTGCACTAGTGAAATCCCCCATGTGACACCTTCGAGTTCTAAAAACTGAGCAAATAGCCCCAGGATATAAAATAATTGGGGTAGGCTATGGTGGCCCACACCTGTAATCCCAGGAACCCAGGAGGCTGAGGCAGGAGGATTGAAATTTGGAGGACAGCCTCAGCAACCTAGTGAGGACCTAAGCAACTTAGCAAGACTCTGGTTCAAAATAAAAAAATAAAATAAAATAAAAAGGGCTGAGGATGTAGCTCAGATGTCCCCAAAAATAAAATATGTAGAGATGCTGGGTGCCCCTAGAAAGCTATCCAAACACAAAGAGTAAATTCTAGCATTGCTAACCAAATTCTGGCAATCGTTCATGACCCTATCAACAAAATGTATTATTCAAAAAAAACCTTTACTGGCCCTTTTAAGGAGAGTGCAGTACATTACTTTGAACTATAGAAGTGCCCATGGGTAGGAATAATTATTTTGGTAATGCTGTTTGCTGGCACTAGATAGGAGTTGGAAGATGTTTCTGGTTTTGATTTTACTTTAATCGGCCCTGACTTTGGTATAAGCTCCATGGTCCTCCACCGGGGATGATTTTGTCCCCAGGGAATATTCTGGACTCTTAAAACTGAGAAGCATTGCTACTGACATCAAGACGGTAGAGGCCAGAGATGCTGCTAAATATTGACCATTCATAGAGCAGTGCCCACAATAAAAAAAAGTTACCTACTGCAGAATGTCAAAAGTGCAGAAGGGGAGAAACCCTGGCCTATGGTGGAATGTGTCACTGAGTGAAGCTGAAAAATGTTAAAGGTTTTGCTTGAATGCTTCTATATCTAAGCATACAGGACTTGGGGGTTGCACATGTCCTAAGACCTGGGCGGGCAGGAAGAACAATACAAATCAACACTTGTCCCCCTATTTCTGTGCTTCTCGGTGTTTTGCTTTGACATTTTGTCATATCAGCATTATGTTTCTTCTCAGCACAGAGCCAAGGCTCACAGCAAAGGACCCAGCTTAATACCATGCATAGAACACACTATTCCAGGCTCCTCACAATCATACAGCTAAAAGAGGAAGAGGACCACAGGAAGTGATTCCGTATAGTTAGTGCTGGGTCACTGCAATATTTCTAGGCCAGGGAAGGGCCTTCTTCTGATGCCCCATCAACCTGCCCGTTCTGATCACATCCACCATCACAAAATGAAATACCTAAACAATACCAAATGAGAAGCACCCCCAAATCATAATTATGAAATCTGAATCTTGGAAAGTCAGTGGTTTTTAACAAACTTCACCTAAGGTCTCTTGAACTTAAGAATATGATAGTCCCTTTTCATAATATAAAAAAACTTATTTTTAAATATCACTGAAGCTTTATAGGTATTCAGGACTCCCTCTAAAACTCTTGTCTGTACATTGGTAGTTTACTGGTTCCTTTCTGTCTTCCTTTACCTTTGGCTTCCTTTCCATCCATTTATCCTTTCCAGAAACATTCCCTGGGGCATCTTGCCATCTTTTGCAGAGAATCTGGACAGAAAGTGGGAACATTCCCTTCTCCTGGGAATCCTGAACCTTACAAAGCCATCTTCTTTCCCTTCCTTGTTGTTTGGGTGGGTAGGTGGGTGGGTGACCTTTCCCTCCTCACAGAGTGAGGCCCAACCTGGGGAAACAGGAAAACAGAATTTCCAGTTAGGAATATCTGGGCATCACCCCCAAGACTGTCCCTAAGCCCACCACTCCCAGTGTCCTCCCTAGTGCTCTCTAAAGAAGCTGTACTTCCTGCTCACCTACTCATCTGGGCTTCTATTAGTTTTAATAAAATCAAAGAGTTGTCCCATGTTATTCATCAAGTTTGGGGCTCTCTACATTTATATACAAAAGTTGAAGTGGACCAATGGGAAAAGATGACTGACCTCAGTGGCTAGGTTAAATCTGGACTTTTGACATTTTGTGAACTTCTCTGACAACTTTCTATCTACTCTACCTCTGCAGAGGCCTGGGCACCAACGAAATAGCCCCTGGGTCTGCTGTGGTCAGTTATCAGGAAAACAACAAGACCCTGCTCCCGTTCTGTTTTCGTGTCTCCTCAAATCTCAGGAAGCGGTATTTAAGAGGGTGGGGGCAAGTACTGTTCCCCTCCAAAATTTCCTCCTAACAACCAGAGGAAAATGCCACCACTCGTTTCCACCCTGAAAGCGCTCTGCAGGGCTTCATGGTTTCTGCTAATAAAAGCGCAAAACATAAATGGCTTGGTGATTATTGGCTTTCGCCCTTGGACGGAGAAATGAGATCACGATTTTCACCAAGGGAAGGCAATGCTGCTGCCAGGCTGCTGAGGCTGTCGCTTCCCCTCCCTGCGCGGGCCCCGCATTACATCACCGGTGAGCTCTTGCTGGTGGGGGAGAGGAGGCTCCGACAGGGACCCAGCCCCAGACAGGAGGATAAGCAGAATAAAAAGTAAGGGTGGGAGTAGGCGCGTGTTGAGGAAGAGGGAAAAGGGAAAACAGGTCTGGGTTTCCCACCATCAACCTGGGGGGAGGGGGGTGGTTGGCACTTACAAAACGCAACATCCTTAAACAGCTACACCCCCAAATGCATTCCCGCGCCGCCTCCCAGCCGCCCTCTACTCCCATTTCCAAGTCCAACAAAAACCGGTATCCAAAGCCAGAAGAGCTGCCTTGAGGGGGCTGGAGGGGACCGCAGAGAGGCGCCGGGGGACAGGGAGGGACCCGGGCGCTCGCGCGGGGGCGGAGCGGGGCGGGGTGGGGTGGACTGGAGAGGGAGGCGGTTGCCGTTGCGCCCCCGCCCGGCCCAGCCAGCTGTGCCTCCGACGCCAGGCGACAGCAGTCAGGGGGGGAGGCAGAAGCGCCTCCTCCCCGCCTGGAGCCGAGGCGGCAACGCAGGGGGAGGAAGGCAACTCACCTTGCCCCCAATGAGGGGCGGATCATGCCATGGCAGCGCCAGCAAACGACAGCGGCGGCAGCGAACAGAGCCCCAGCAGCAGCCCCGGGAGCCGGGCCGGAGCAGGGGGCGCGGCGGCTGGAGGCCGGGACCGCGGGGATAGGAGACCCCGGAACGCCACCGCTACGGCCCCAGGCCTTGCACCTCTCGAAGACTACGAGTGCAAAATCTGCTACAACTACTTCGATGCGGACCGGCGCGCGCCTAAGCTGCTGGCGTGCCTGCACACCTTCTGCCAGGAGTGCCTAAGCCAGCTACAGCTCCGCGCCGCCGCCGCCGCCGCCGCCGCTGCCAGCGCTGCGCCTGAGCGCGCGCAGCGCCCCCCGCCCTGGCACGATCCTCCCGGCGCCATCGCGTGCCCCGTGTGCCGCCACCGCACGCCGCTGCCCGACAGCCGCGTGCAAGCCTTGCCCAATAACACCAAGCTCGCCGAGGCCTTCCCGCTAGCTCTGCGCGCGGCTCACGACCCGCTACCCCAGGACCGACTCCCGCCGCTGCCAGCACGCCGCGCAGAGCCTGCAGCACCCCAGCCGCCAGCCCCGGCCCCGCAACCAACGCCACCTGCAGAGGACACCGCCCCCGGACCTCGCGCCCGCCCGGGTCTGCGCGCCCCGGGCGCCTACGACAGCTGCCAGAACTGCAAGCGCGCTGCGCTCACCGCCGGCTGCGTGTGCGTGGTTTTTTCTTTTCTCTCCATGGTGGTGCTGCTCTTCACTGGCCTCATCTTCGTCAACCACTACGGTGGCGGTGGTGGCGGGGGACCCCCCGGAAGCGGAGCGCCCCCTGGGGATGCCCCGGCGACTGGGTCGCCTTCGCCCTCGCCTGTGGGGCCCATCTGTCTGTCGGTGGCCAGCATCTTGGCGCTCTTCTCAGTCGTTGTCACCTGGGTTATCTGCTGGCTCAAGTATCGGCCCGAGGGTGCGGCCGCCAGCTCGGCTGGAAGCGGCGGCGGCGGCCCGAGGACGCGGGCAGCGGCGGCACCCGGCGGCGCACGGAGGAGCGACACGTAGCTGGGCAGCACACTGGTCTCTATGCCTGCACCGCCTGCCTCGAGCAGCCAAAGAGGAGTGGGCCTTTGACTCAGTACACTCGAGCTTCTCCCTCTCCCGGTGACCTTAGGACGCTCCAGTCGCACCATCCCCCACCCTCAGCCACCTGGCCACCAAGGTTTTCTGCCTCACGGACTTTCTATGCCCCACCTCCTTTGCGCAGGGTCTGAGAGGAAAACTCAAGGGGTGAGGAGGCTGGTGAACCGGCTGGTGGGGCGTTCCTTTTCCCTTTCGTGCACCACCCCATTTCCAGAGTGCGCGGCCGTCCCTTCCAAAATCTGAGGATTTACAATCAAGAGGAAAGGGGAGAGGTCCCCAGGCAGCCCTCCTGAAAGCTGATTTTCTGGAGGCTGGAACTTGAGAGTTTCTTGAAGGGTGCAGGTGAGCGCACTTACTAGTCCACAGCGGTTGTGAATGGCCTTGAATTGCCCAAAGGAAGAATAAGAAAAGTTAAAGTGAGAGAAAGGTTTTCTTGCTTCCCGGCGGTCCTAGAAAGGGAGAGATCCTGAGCGCTGAGAGTGACTTACACTCCCCGGGGGCACAGCTAGGGCGTGAACGTGGTGGCTGCTGGACTTAGCAGCTGTCGGCATCTGTGCGTTATTGGGCAGGTGCATAGTGCGCGTTCAGAGTAGTTGTCCGACTCCACGGAGATGCGACTGCAGCTTGCAAAAGGCAATGATCCTGCTACCCACCTCCCGGGGTCTGGAGCAGAGCCCAGAAGTCCAATCTTCTGAAAGCTTGCGGTTGTCTTACGGTGTTACTGCCAGGAAGTCATTTCATCTTCTGTAACTGGACTCAGGGAGTTTAAAAAGCCTGATCTCCCTTCTCTCAAAACTGACTGACTGTTGCCCCCACCTGGAAGATATTGAAAGCTATTCACGAAGAATATAAACTACAGGCTTCCCCTTTCCCGTCTTTTTTCTTAATTTCATTTTAAAAATAATTTATTTTTGAATAGATAAATCTGGAAATTTTTGTACATTAAGATTTCCAGAAAAGTTGTTATAAGTGGTGACATTTCTCTCATACCTCTGATTCAAACACATTTTGAAATTAAGAGCAGAAAATAAAGGCTTGTTGGTAATTGATTCAAGTTTTTATACTGTGCAACAACATTAAGTGACTTCCAACTGTCTGATAAAATATAAAATAGTGCCCAAAGATGAAGTTAACTGATAGTCTTTCTTTGACTACCAAGACATACATATATATAAGTACATACAAACATACATACATTATACATTTATCAGAAAAGATATTATTTTGAATTTAGCTGTTTGCTGTTGTTGGAATCAGTGAAATATTCACATCTGGACACATGAGATGACAAAGAATACATATTTGATTTTGTAACTAAGAAGATGAAATTATGAGTGTATGTTGCAGGTGGGTTAGATCCCTTTTTAAGGGGATAAAAGGTTTCAAATGTATTTTATATGAAAACATTCCCTGTTCCACATTTTGGAATTTGGAATAAGAAAGTTTTCATGTTTAAAAGTCACAGAAGAGACTGAGGGTGCTGTTATCACTCGTGTATTTATGCAAGCTGCTTGCATGATATCTTGATACTATGCTATTAACTGTACTTGAATGGATCATTTGTATCTATCATATGAGTGAAGTAATTTATTGGCCATCAATAAGTGGTCTGGCTGCATTTTAGGAACTACAATATGGTGTGTTATATGTCTACATTGTCTTAATAAAAACAAGAAGTATTTATAGTATTTGTGACACTTATTTCATGGTGAAATTGCTTCAATTTTTGGTGTGGCCTTTTTCTTAAATACTTGTCCCTACCTAAATCCCACTTTCACATTTTGAATGGGGCTAAGAGAGAAATACTAAGATGATCATTTTGCAGAACTATCTCTGGGGCTTAATAAGAGTCCTTGAAGGTCCAATAAAATCTGTTGTAGGGGTGGCACATGCCTGTGATCCTAGCAGCTTGGGAGGCTGAAGCAGGAGGATCAAGCCAGCCTCAGCAAAAATTAGGCACTAAGCAATTCCATGAGACCCTGTCTCTAAATAAATACAAAATAGGGCTGGGGATGTGACTCAGTGCTCCTGAGTTCAATCCCCAGTAGCTCCCACCCCCCCCAAAAAGGTCCATTGTAGGATTTAGAATGGAGAAGTGCCCTGCCCGCCTACAATTATAACATTTGCTAAAACTAAATTCTGTTGTCATCCTTTGTTCTTGTTTTCTGTGAAATGTTTTCAGATTCCAAATACTAAGGGTCAAATTTCAGAGATTAGTTTTAATTTATACCCACATTTTTTTTTTACCTTTTATTCATCCTTTGTTTTCTTCCATTGTTAAGATTCTGTTTGCAGTCACTTTAGTTGCACAAATGCAGGAATGCATCTACACAAAATACATCATGTATGCACATATCTTGGATATGAATGTATGTAGTGCATATTATACATATATATATACATACATATGCATAGTAGTAACAGAACGTGGCTTTGTTGATGTAACCATGCATCCATATGTTTGTTATTTCACTCTCTTAAGCTAGCAACCCAGAAGTCTGTCTAAAGTTACTTGGGGAACAGCTTGCTTCTTCTAGAGTTTATTTATGTCCCACAGAAGTACATCAATGATGCAACTTAAATTATTCCTCATAAATGAGAACTACATCTTTGAATTGCCTCGGTCACAATAAAAGCCACATTTTGCTTCTTTCGTGGGCTGCCCATGTGGATTTCTTGTAATGAGAAATTTGAATTAGAATACTTTGAAATCAAATCAATGCATTTAGTAGCTCAGTACTTAAAGATATTTTTTCCTTGGCTAACTTTACTGTATTGCTAATGTCTGACATTGTTACCAAAAATTGAGTGACAAGATGGCTGATGAAAATATTTGCCTGGTTTTCAGTCGTTCTCTAGCATTCAGGTGTCCCTCCTCACTTCCTATTTGGCAGGTTCAATTTACTCATTCTTACTTCATGTGGCAATGTGGGCACACCAGCATCTTGGAGTTTGGAAATTATTGAAATAATGAGTGAGTTGTCTGGATGGCTCCTGGTGATAATGGGATGCCTGCACATCTGCTCAGGACTCAGGTTCCCAGGTCCTCATGGTTCTGGTTGTGCCTGCATTCTGGGGCAGCAGGTTAGAGTTATCTTGATGCTTCCATAGAATCTAAATTTCAAGTGAAAGAAATTCATCATGCAGACAATGGATTAAAAACTTGGCCTCTGAATACAATGTGATTCCACCTTCAGAAAGCACTTTAGGCTTGGGGGGTCAAAAAAAAAAAAAAAAACAGTGTCTGCAGTCAGGAGATGTGTCTGATATTCTGATATTGGATCTCCCCTTACTTGGAAAGACCTTAAGAAGTCAATCAACCTGTTTGAACCTCAAGTTCTTCGTCTATAAATGAGGATGAGAAAAATTATCAACCTTCTCTACCTTAAGAGGTTGGTTGAGGATTTGTACCCTTAAGAGAGGAGATGGCTAAAAATGCTTTGGAAACTAATACCCTGTATGCATCTCCTTTTCATTCTGGTCTCCAAGGATGTAATATCACCTCAGAGGAGTCTGCCCTTACCACTCTATTCCCTGGGATTATTGGTTCCCGTTTTACTTCCTTCCTAACCCTTGTAACTCTCTGCAATGATGTTATTTATTTGTTGCTTTTTTTTTTTTTCAGCCTCCTAAAACAGAACAGGAAACTTGTCTCTTTGTTCCTCTACTCTATCCATTAAGCCTTAATGAGTTCTCAGCACATAATAAGAGGGCTATTATAGTCTGTTGAAGGAAAACTCTGGAATGAATGTTGGGTTCCCCAGACTCACTCTGCCACTCAGTAACTAATGAGTCCCTGAAGGTCTTAGGTCAAAAATTGTTTTCCCTATTTCATAATGATTTTGGAAAGTTGAAAATATATACTTATGTAAAGCACTTTGAATTTTGAAAAAAATCAGCACTGCAAAAAGTAGAAGAACTCTATTGCATTGCATTCAGGGACAGGAACCACTAGAGAGACTAAGAAACATTTGGCTTCTGTTTCCAATCATTTCTGCATTGTGACATTTAGGGTACATTTATGTACTGCCCCTCCAAAGTGAGCAGCCTTTACATAGTTGGGACAAGCATACGTTGCTGTTGAATTTTCCATAACATTGAGAGAAAGTTCTATTAAATTTATTATCATTTATGGCTCCCTGTTTTATTAAGTCTTCAACCTTTGTCATATTAAAGATTCTTCATATTCGTGTTAATTTTATTGATCTAAAATGAATGTTCCTATTCCTCTGTGACCCAACTGGTACCCTCTATAATCATTTAATTCCCATTAGCTCATATCTAAATTTTACCCTTTTTTTTTAGATGCTGATGGACCTTTATTTTATTCATTTATTTATATGGGTGCTGAGAAATCAACCCATTGCCCCACACATGCTAAGCGAGTGCTTTACCACTGAGCTACAACTCCAGCCCTACATTTCTTCTTTTATACAAAAAATGATTAAATTTACGCCATGGACAACGAACTGCATCCTTGCTAAGTATACATTTGCATCTATTCATTTGAACTCATATTTTTATTATATGTTAAATTGTGAGTGTGTTAGAGGAATAGCTAATATTTACTAAAGTAACTATTTTTTTTGTGTGTGGGAGGGAGATATCTGGGATTGAACTCAGGGGCACTCTACCACTGAGCCACACCCCCAGCCCTATTTTGTATTTTATTTAGAGACAGGTTCTTAATGAGTTGCTTAGCACCTCACCTTTTGCTGAGACTGGATTTGAACTTGTGATCCTCCTGCCTCAGCCTCCCCAGCTGCTGGGATTACAGGCGTGTGCCACTGAGACCTGTTAAAGGAATTATTTCTAAGATCTGTGTTAGAAATGACTGCAGCCAGATCTTGGATTGAAGTCATGTGGATGAATTTATTATAAGAGAGATTTTATTCACCAGGTATGTTGACAGGTGCCTGTAA